TTAATTTGGATCCTTTATTCAGTGACTTAGTATTTAGAGCATTATTAGGTTGTGGTTACCTCTTTTAATGCACGATTTTATTCTTTTTTCATTCAGTGATTGCTTACATAAATAGGAATTAGAGCATTATTAGATTTCTTGTTTTTGATTTATTCTTTTCGATACTATGCAGAACTTGAGAACAAGATACTCAAGTTGAACCAATGGGCTTTGGTCCAATGGTACTCCTTACCTTGTAAGGCCTTTGTCTTCTTGAGGTCAAGGGTTCAAGTCCCCCTCCCTCTTTTCCTTCTCCCTCAAAAAAAAAAAAAAGATACTTAAGTTGACCTATTTGGGTTTAATTATATTTGTTTGTCTACCTTTTTAAGTTCTATTGTACCTTTTTAGTTTCCTTTACACCTTTTTATTTTTGAACAAGCATTACATTTTGTCTAAATAGAGGAGGAATAATAAAGGAAAAGGCCAAGTTATAAAGCGTCGCAAGAGATTTTTGCAACTGTAATTTAATCATTGGAGTAATTAGCTATTGTAAGTGATTGCTTTTCCAGTGACACTTTATTGTTTCTTTTGGAATATTGTCTTGATTCATCTTTTATCATTTGGAACATAGGCAAACAAAATAGTATATTCAAGTTGCTTCGAAATAGTGGTTTGAAGTGGGTCACATGATGAGTTGTTACACAACAATGACTTTGGGTTGGTGTATGTTTTTGATTTTTGAAGAGAAAAAGAAAAAAAAATTAAAAATTAAAAAAAAAAGTATCAAGCTAACATGTAACATTTTCATCTGTACTACAAATACTTTATAGCCAAAATTGTTTATTTTTGGCTTTTGCATCATCCTTCAATTAAATTTTCATTTTAAATTCCATCTTTTTTAATGTTTACATTTTGTTGCTGTGTGAGTTCTTCATTTTTTTTTCTTTTATTTTCCTTCTTTCTCTCTCTCTCTCACCAGCACCAGCAACATCACCACAGCCACCACGCCACATACTTCCTCTTCTCCCAGGTATCCGTCTTTTCTTCTTTTCTCTCTCACACACACACCCCAATTCTCCCCTTGAGCGCAACCCCCTCACAACTCATATCCAGCAACACACGACACAAACAACATACACTAGGGAGATACTAGAGAGAAGTTATATGAAGCTAATGTCTTAGCATTAAAATTCACAATGATTTCATTTAATGAGAGACAAAACTGTTTCTTTGTACATAATCATTGTCACAAAACTGTGCTTGGAAGATACCAGAGAAAAGTTATGTGAAGCTACTGAAAATTTGAAACTGAATTCCTTGGTCATGGAAAGCCAAGGACTTAGCACCATCTAAAGGTTCACTTTTCACTATTTTTTGTTTCATTGCTTTTTAAAGACTATCATCTGATCTTTAACAATATATAATTTGAGTTGCATACATGCCCTTTTTTAAGGCCTAGGCTTTCATAGAACAAGCACATATGAGATTGTTGTCTATAATCCCATTTTCTTTATTTCCCTTTTTAAATAGTATCTATTTGAGCCGTGGTCTTGATTATTCATATCATTGGACATAGTCAGTTATTTTTTAGGGTCAAAATCTTTACTTTTGTATGCTCGATTTATTTTTTTATCAAACATTATCCAATATTCTTTTTTTGTGCTCATATCACATAACTAATTTCTTTTGTTACATGTGACCAATAGGTTTTTTTGAATATTGTCCATTATACGTTCATGATGATTAATTGATCTTTTTAAAGGTTGAAGAATCGTTTTTCAGTTTTTGCTTTATCATATTCAAATAAAAAAAATACATTAGCGCTTGGTATTTTGCCTTCTTTTTTTTTTTTTTTGGGGGGGGGGAGCATTCATTTGATTTAATTAGATGTACTGCTTTCATCTTCTTTATTTTTTTAATTGTTAATTGCATAGAGCATTTAAACATTGAGTATTCTTGAGTGCAAGCAATATGCATTTTTTGTTTATGAAATTTATATGTTGTTATGAAATTCATTTACGTGGTTGCGTTAGTTGGTAAATGGTTATGTTAGGCAGAAGTGTGTAATATTGAGACCTTCTGTAGTCTTATGGAGAATAAAAATAAATTGTGTATATAGATTAAAAATTATTTGAGGGTCTATTTTGTGGGGAAATTCTGGCAATTTTGATTAAAATACATGGGAGATTTAACTTTTTGTGCAATGAATTTCTAATTTTTGGTAATTTTTTTTTGGTCTTTGGTTACTCAACGTCTTTAGCCACAAATACAAGATCAATTGAACCAATCATTTTGATTTGTTTCAATTTTGTTTTGATTTTGGACTTTTGTTATGGAAATTTTTATATGGGAGTTGATATGGATGTTCATTAAATGCTTTCGTTTAGAATTGTGGGTTGGATTTGCTATATGCAGATCTATATGGATAAAGTTAAACTTTATTCAATTGTTGATTTTATTTTATTGTGATAGTTGATAAATTGTTTTGTTATGGCAGAATTAGGGTGTGATATTGAATTCGATAAATGAATTGGGGTGTGTTTTCTTTAAATTCATGTGTTTCTTAATAATAAGCATATATGTATTAATTATTAGCTATTCGATAAATTATATAAGTTCATTTTTTTTGTGTTATGTTTTTAAAGTAAATTCGTCAAATTTTTTTAATATTGATTGTGGATTCAGATTGATTTAAAATGGCATAATTAAAAAAATAAATAAATAAATTACTACTTGAAATATTTGTGGGCTATTGAAAATATATGTATTACATGATTAATGCTTGACTGTATTGTACAATATCATCAAGTACGGATTTTGTCTATTTTTAAAAAAAAGTGTTTGACATGATTTGATATAATAACTCGACTTTTTAGGGTACTCAAATTTTGTATTGTATCGTACCCTCGTGCTCGAATTATTACCAGTTATTCAATAAGCAATGTGGAAGGCACCTCCCAATATCCCATCGTCTTGAATGAGGTCTCAGTGAAGAGGATGCTTCATAGCAAGGAAGTCTTTGGGACCCTCTACACCAAACATTACTTTTCCCCGGATCATGTAGGAGTGTTGGATGAGTTAGCGATCCTGTCAACGTCAATTTAGGACAGAGGCCAATTTCATTAACCTAATTAAATCTGGAAAACATATATTCAATATGCTGCGTAAGTATTGAATCCTTACTTCTTTGATTCGTGCTATATCATTACAGTGGCTACTTAGATCCTGAAGGAATTCGCATTGGCTTGTTGCACATTGCGTTGTAAAAGTTGAAGCTCTTTTGGAGCCGTTGTCAAAATAAGCATCAGTTCAGACTCAATCCGGATGAAAGTGCAGTCATGAGTATCTGGGTCTCTTTAGAGCCCAATTAATCCTTCTAATCACATTTAATTATTCCATTCCATAACATATAGTACGAATCACCAAATGACTTTATTTGTAGGCAAGAAAATATATATTTGTACCAAAATTCAATTCAAGGTAATTGATGATATACAAAATTGATTATGCACGATCAAATCAGTCGAGTGTGTAACGTAAGACAAATAATGAAGCAATTAATATTAAGAGGTAAAGATTGGATGGTTGGGCATGAGTGGTCGAACCACTAAAAATGACAACGGTGGCCAAAAAATTTTATTAATAAAAGATATAAGATAGTAGGAGAGGGAGAGCAGGAGTAAGAGTACACTCAAGGTATAATGTGTGAGATCTGCTCATAGTCATGACTATCTTGATGATTAATCTCTCACATGCGTTAATTCTTCTTAAACTCTTAAACTTTGAACTTAACTGAAGTCATGAGGTACATCTAATATGCTTTTTAATGATCGGAGCTCCACTTATAAATTGGGCCAAAACCTAGTCTTAATCTGGCCACATTCATGATTATCTTGACGTTTGATTTCTCACGTGGGATTGATTATTCCTAAACTCTTAAAATTTAAATTTAACTGAAGTCATGAGGTACGTCTGATCTACTTTTTAATAATGGGAGCTCCACTTATGAATCGGGCCAAAACCTAGTCTGAATCTGGCCAGTCAGTAATGATCACAAATGCATTAATGCATGACAAAGATGATACAGTTTACGCGTGTGTGCCTGCAAGCAGCTTTGTCAACAGCTCATTTGACTTTATATTTCTGGGAAATAAATCTGGAGGGAGAGGCAACATATAGCAAAGTGTAAAACAACTTTAATGACTTGTGTATACTTAACTAATCTTGGTAACCCTATGAAGAAAGTTATTTACGCTAAAAAAAAAAAAAAATCCAAATGAAGAAAGTTTTATTTATGTTTCCCCCTGCTTCGTAACTAACCAACCAAAATGTGTACCATCGACCTACCTTATTCCAACAATGAGTGAAAAGACAAGAATGACATAGTTTTATAAGAATTATTAAATTAATATCAAGTTTCAATGTTTAATGTGATTTACAGTGAATCTAAAAATTACAGTAAATTAGGTCAACAAATTATATCAGTAAATTAAGTCTCAATAACATTTCTCTTTGACTTATTAATAGCTAATAATCTTGAAAATAATAATATAAAATAATATAATAAATGATAAAACTTTACAGATGTCCTTTTATAATTGGATAAAGAAATGATACAAAAAAAGTTATCTAATACTTTTAGAGTAATATTATTGAGACATAATAAGTTGTCACCAATAAAATAATAGTGAATTCATTTAATGTTACAATAAGACTCATCATTAAATATATTTCACTATCACCTCATTGGTAACAACTCATTATATCTCCAAAAGATATTCATAAATTATATTCCAACAGCAGTACCGATACTTTTAATCTCAGCCTTCTTACTTGGTGTTTCTGCCTCTTGGGCAAGATCACCACCGTTTTTATCAGTGCGTTAATAGTCTTCTGTTCCTGCCAAACTATGGTCATAATGTGTTGGCAGCTAAGGTGCTGATGAAAGTGCATGGTATCAAATTTCCGTCTTCACAAGATTGTCGCAATGGATCATCTCATTTTCCCCAACCACCACACGAATGACTCGGCTAGAGGTGCAACTGCTCTGTGATATCTTATCTTCCATTGATGTCGACATATGGTTTTGCTGCACTGTTACACCATATTCTCCTCTATACTCTCCTAGTCTCCGTAGACTCCCTCCATCTTCTCCCTCTTTTTTGGAAGGAGGTTAGATACATTCCAGGGTTTACCCCTAGTCCCTAGACCTTTTCCCCCACTAAACCTTGTGTATAGCAATAGCATACACACCTAAAACATATTTTTCCCACGACCACAATATACTCATGGCTCGATCACAATATTCTTCATCTCCAGTGATATTTGCGGTCCTTACTATTATCCTCTTGTTTGTTTGGCCAACATGTTCAACTTCTAGACACGCTCTCGTCGATCACACAACAGGGAAAACTGGATTTCGGGTCNCATTCTTCATCTCCAGTGATATTTGCGGTCCTTACTATTATCCACTTGTTTGTTTGGCCAACATGCTCAACTTCTAGACACGCTCTCGTCGATCACACAACAGGGAAAACTGGATTTCGGGTCACACTGAAGCACATTGATTCTGGTAGAAACCTGACGAAGTTCGAGCGTTTACAACATGCAATGAAGCGTGGGAAGCTCAGGTTGAAAAGGCTGAGCTCAATGGCTTTGGCAGCGTCAGAGGCTGAGGTTAAATCTCCAGTTCATGCTGGAAATGGTGAATTTCTCATGCAATTATCGATTGGCACACCGCCGGAAACTTATCCGGCAATAATGGACACCGGCAGTGATTTGATTTGGACTCAGTGCAAGCCTTGTACACAATGTTTCGACCAGCAAACCCCAATCTTTGATCCAGAGAAATCATCTTCTTTTTCGAAGTTATCGTGCTCTAGTGACCTTTGTGCGGCACTGCCAATTTCAACGTGTGACGATGGGTGCGAATATCTCTATACCTACGGAGATTATTCATCAACGCAAGGTTTTATGGCAACGGAAACCTTTACTTTCGGCCAGGTATCGGTTCCAAATGTTGGGTTTGGTTGTGGAGAAGATAACGAGGGAAGTGGGTTTACCCAAGGTGCAGGCCTAGTGGGACTAGGGCGTGGACCGTTGTCGCTCGTTTCACAGCTCGAGGAACCCAAGTTCTCGTATTGCCTAACTTCTGTTGATGACACAAAAGCTAGTACCCTTTTGATGGGGTCTCTAGCCGGTGTGAACACCGGAGGCAATGCAATCAAAACCACCTCGTTGATTAAAAACCCTGCACAACCATCTTTTTATTATCTTCCCCTTGAAGGGATCACAGTTGGAGACACTCTCTTACCCATCAAGAAATCAACTTTTGCACTCAATGAAGATGGGAGTGGTGGTATGATCATTGACTCTGGAACAACAATTACATACTTAGAGGAAAGTGTTTTTGATCTAGTCAAGAAGGCGTTCATTTCTCATACAAAACTGCAAGTGGACAATTCCGGCTCGGCCGGCCTTGATCTTTGCTTCACTTTGCCATCTGATTCAAACACTGTGGAGGTTCCAAATTTGGTATTCCATTTTGCGGGTGCAGATTTGGATTTGCCAGGGGAGAACTACATGATTGGTGATTCGAGTTTGGGTGTGGTCTGCTTGGCCATGGGAAGTTCAAGTGGGATGTCTGTCTTTGGTAATGTCCAGCAGCAGAATATGTTGGTGCTTCATGATCTTGAGAAGGAGACCTTATCATTCGTGCCAACACAGTGTGATCAGTTTTGAGCTTCTATTATTGATCATCTTTTGTGTGTTTGTTGTATTTGTGTTCGAATTTGATTTTTTTTCATTTCTTCATAGTTTCAAAACAATTTGCGTTAGTAAGATTCTAATTTCCACATACACGTATTTGATTTATCATAGGTTAAAAACATCATCATTAGACCACCATAGAGTCCTNTTGTTGTATTTGTGTTCGCATTTGATTTTTTTTCATTTCTTCATAGTTTCAAAACAATTTGCGTTAGTAAGATTCTNCTGTTGTATGTGTGTTCGAATTTGATTTTTTTTCATTTCTTCATAGTTTCAAAACAATTTGCGTTAGTAAGATTCTAATTTCCACATACACGTATTTGATTTATCATAGGTTAAAAACATCATCATTAGACCACCATAGAGTCCTGACTGTTATCAATTTCTTTGGCGAATAGATCACTTAATACTATTTCATGTAGAACAATTATTTACAAGTAGATTCCCAAATTATATAAGATGAGTGATCTATTGTAGGATATTAAAAATATCAAGTGCTTAAAATATTTTTATACACAAATAAATTAATCAAAGATGAATGAAAATAAATCAAGAAATAAAGAAAGGACGAACAAAGAAAAAGACAAAACGCAAAAGCTTGTGTTACTGTTCATGTACATCAAGAAGGCAAGAAAAAATCCCCACCAAAAGGTTAAAAAAAACCTACTATTTGTAGAACTTTTAATTTTCCAAAGGACTAGTTTAAGTTTTTGACATATGAATTCCTAAACTCTCTATGTGATGCGCCAAATTCGATTATTGAACAATAAAATAAAATTTGATTACATGATTTACCCACTAAACTAGTGTAAATAATTAGGCTAATTTATAATGTAGAATTAATAGGAAGTGGCTATAAGTTAGATGATTTCTAAATTTATTTGTCAAAGAAAAAATAAAAGGTGGGTCAATAGGCTTGTTTACGGCCTTTGTTATACCTCAAGAATTGATGCACGTGAGCTATAATATACTAGAGCAAATTAATTAAGAAATAAATGACAAATATGTAACTTACAAGCTACACTACTCTACAATGTATGTCGGAAAAATGAATCCAAAAGATAAAGTAAACGACTGGATGAGGCGCAGACTAGGACGCTCTCTTTAATATACAATAGCTCAGCCTAATTGACTTTAGCTTCACTTAGATCTGTACAATCGAATGAAGAAGAAACTTCACATGACACATTTCTAAATTACCCAAAAAATAAAGTAGTAGTGAAGAATATAGTAGATATAGAACACAAAATGATTATTTAATTAAAACACTAACACTACATTATATACATATAATATTTTAAAGTTTGGTAGTCAAGGTGGACTGGGGCTATATTCAAGTGAATGATTGATGAATGAGGATTGATGGCGTGTAAAACATGGTTGAGCAGAGTATATATAAAAATAAGGTTTGGTCTGAGCTACAAGGCTCGTGAGAATAGTGCAATGGTTCGAGGGTAAAGAATGATTTACACAACCGAGTTATAGTGGTTTACCAGGGAGCTCGGATAATCCACTTTTCAACGGAGTCTCTTGCTCCTAGGATCTATATTGATAGTGAGGGCTATATTGATAGTGAGTGGATTACATAGTGTTCTTGGTACAACTTGAGTTTTTTTGTTTTTCCTACCTCTAAGTGAGGGCTTTGTATAATATTTATAGCCTAGTTCCTAGTTTTATGGGATCTATAACGAGATCTTCGCCTTCCTTTCGCTACATCCCACTCGATTTCTGGCGAAGGTTTAGGTAGTTGAAGATCTTGCGCCTAGACTGGCGCTTACCGTCGTTGAGGGGGCGCATTGTGATTGTCAGTCGTCTTCCACTCATTTTCTTCGGGGTGCAAGTCGAGGGAGCCCCAAGTCTAGACCTCTAAGCTTAGGCTCTTTTGGCTGGGCTCCCATCCTGACCTCACCTTCCGAGCTCAAACTTGAAATTTCTTCTAAATATCATCAAGGATAACAGAGAAGAATTTCTTAAACTCGGGGAAAGAGAGAGTTCCTAAACATGGGTTCAAATCTGGCTGTGAGAGGAGTGAGCTGTCGTGGTGTGTACCTCGGCTACAATTCTGATTACGGAGGAACTAAGCAATCCTTGACATCTTCCTTCTTTTGGGGGAGTGATCTATGTCTCTTCTTGGAGACTTGTCTCTACCTTTCTCTTTTCTAGGACTTATGTCCCTCTTCTTTACTTCCTTCCATTTCTCCTTCTATGTGGGTGAGTTCCCTGTTTTAGAAAGGAGAGTCTCTTCACCGTTAATGTACTTTTCTGCCTTGAAGAGCACCTCTGCTGTGAAACCCGGGAAAAATTTTAACTTTTTCTGAAAAAAAACGGCAAAATGGTAATTTGCCATTATAGTGTGGGTTAAAAAAAATTGATATTTTTATAGACCTCGGATGATGAAACGGATCTCACCGTTGGATTTGTCTCACGAAATCTAGTTACCCAGACAAATTTCGTCAAATTCTGAGATAGTCAGATTTTTTACGTTTTTCGAGGTGGGGTGTTCGATGACCCCAAAAAAACGAAATTTTTATAAAAATTTGAAAATTTGAAAAATATTTTAAATAAAGTTCATATAAAATATTTTAAGTTTAAATCGGTACGAAATTTAATCGTTTCGGGATGAAAACGGACCCGGACAAAGGACGACACTTGGCGCGACGAGGGCCAAGTGTTTAGAAGGTATAAAAGTGAGCAAATATATGAAAAATCAGACATTTGCTCTTCATTTGGCCGGCTGGATCAAACCAAAGAGCAAAGGAGAAAAAAAAATATAATTCTTCAAGCTTTCTTTCGCCGATTCTCGGAGTTCCGTCGGTCGAAATTCGTCGGGCCAAGAATTAAAGTCGATCTACGCGACGAGAGCTACGCGTGGGTACCAAAAACAAAGATTTTCACCGAAGATTCAAAGAGAGGATTTTGGAGAAATCTAAACTTTGGGCTTCAATCTTGTTCTTGAGGCTTCCTACAAATTCTTTACGCTTCAAGAGGTAGGGTTCCTCCTACTCGGACCTATTTCTAACCTAAGGTGTCCATAGGGTTCATGTGGGCTGTTTTGGGTATTTCTAATATTTTTCCATTATGATTGGTGCTATGGAAATGGGTAGGATCAATTTTAGTGTGAATTGGTAGTTAGAAAGTGCTAGTTTGTGATTTCTTGAATGTTTAGATAATTGGTTATATAAAAATCATATATTCTGATTTTTATTTTGTTTGAATGATCCATATAAAATCTTGGCTTGATTTTGGTATATGGAAGTATTTATGTAATCCCTTGAAAATTGGGATCATGTGGGCATGCTTTGTGTTTTATATTATGCCTTGTGAATGAAATGTAATATTAGCATGTATTATGTGTTATCATGTTGATGGAGTGTTGATATATGCTCTTGGATATATTGAACTTGAAATGGTTATGTGATTATATGCAAATGATATTAATTGTCATGGTATACAATGATATTTAAAAATTGTCATTTGGCATGCATTGCAATATGGACATGGAATTAACATCACATTCATGGGCTACATGCATGAGTGTGGGTGTAGGGTTGCATGGGGTGATCAACACCAACATTGGTTCTTGATGGTAGGCTCGGGAAAGTGGGATGGAATGTCCTACGGAGTCGCACGGTGACATGCATAAGAAAACTTGTGTCGGGTATAGCAAGTAGGGCTAGACACTCCCTCGGGTGAAAAACCCGACCACTTGGTTCATACACTTACCGGCGGTGAAATTCCAGAAAAGTGTAACGGCGTACGGAGCCGGAGGTGCGATTCCTGAATCCGATACCCCATAAAGGCACATGATTTTGATATATAAATTATTCATTTGATGGGAAACATCCAAGAATGAATTAGTTTTATGACATATGGTTGATTTCAAAATGATCTTTGGATGTGTTTCATCAAAGACGTTTGTTTTACACGTAAGTGTCGCATTGTGTTGTGGGAGTCGGTGTGGGCTCGGGATAGCATGCATGGGTGAGTTTCATCTCATTACTTGGCATGGCATCATGATTTTCCAACATTGTATTATATGTTATTGTTGGAGGGAATACTTGTTGTGAAATGTTGCATTTATACATTGCATATGCATTTTAGGTGATGAGTAGCCTCTGTAGGGATTATTCTACTGGGCATTGGCTCACCCTATACGGGAAACATTTCAGGTGTGGGTCATGCACCAATGGACGGCTCACAATCCGGGTCACATGGTTGAAGAAAAGTCGACTTGTGGCTTCCAATCCATTTTTTTTTTTAAAAGTAGATTTGTAATTAAATTTTGGCATGTAATGTGTAAAGGAATTGTAATAGAGTATATATGGACTGTTTTAATATAACCTTGCATATTTTGATATAAATATGATGATTGGACCCGGTGTGGTCAAGTTTTATGTATAAAATGGACCCTGTGTGGTTATGGTATTATATTGGACCTCGGATGGGTCATGTAAATGTTGATTGCACAGATTGTGTTTTGGGGTAGAGCTTCCCGTACAAAGGAGACTCTGCCCGGATTTCGTTAAATTATGGATCCTGGTAAATGGGACACAACGGTGCGATATCGAGTTATACGGTATCCACGGGCATTCCATGAGTTGATGGGAAATTAACGGACCCCATGAATTTGGGGTGTCACAGCTTGGTATCAGAGCCTAGGTTATACGATTTACCTAAGGCTTGTTGGGCATTGGGACTAGACCATTGCATGCATTGTGCATCTCATCTTATGTGCTTAAATTGTTATATGTTTTGTGCAACGTGTTATGTGAAACATGATTATTTGCTAAGTGATTATGTGAATGATATGCATGGTAAAAGGCACATGAAAAAAAAAAAAAACAAACACTAGGGTTAGAAAACATAACCTTGGGTTCAAAAAAAAAAAAAAGGAATGAATGGTATAGTTTTATGTGTAAATGTCTACTAGTAGGTGGCACACGCACTACTAGTGAAACAAGGAGGAAAATCTTCAAGTTTAAATACTTGACTTCTATCTTGGGATACTAAGTAAAT